GATGCACCACTAAATGCTACACAAGAAGGATCAAGCGAGTACTTACACAAATTTGGATCATGTTCTTCACTTGAACATTTTCAACGACCCAAAAATATTATGGTAAGTCTCTCAGCTCTCTCCACGCTTGGTAACGGCCACCCACTCTTCCTTAACTCCGCGATCTGCAACCAACACAAAGGGGGGTAAATTTTAATCCCATCTACCTACCCTATATGGACAAACCGGTTTCCTAATTGCCTTTGCGACTCAATATTTACTCGATAAAACATTTGAAAACTTGTGTCCCATGAGCATCATGAACCATGCTCTAATACCACCTAAAACTGTAGCGACCCTGAACCGTTCTAGAAATCCAGACGGTCCGGAATCGCCACGGTTTGATACTCGTAGACAGTCCAACCGAGGCTGCTAGAACAAATCCATCTACTCTAGTCGGTCCATCTGCGAGTATGTCCTCTCGACCACGGCCTAAAGCTTTGCAACCCGTACCGCGATCGTGAGTTGTGTCGGTTCGGACAGAACCTAGTATCAAGCACACAAGGCTTTAAGAGAAAATCAACTTTATTAACTTAACCAAAAAATCTCAAATACAATAAAGGTTCTTGGTACCAACAACCTATGGCTAAAAACGAAATAACTAACACTACAAATCCATCTTTACAAAGGCAATAAAATCTACACTGGGTTCCTAGCGTCCATGCTCCCTCTAAAGCCTTTCCCACTAAGGTTACCTGCAACAAAAATAGTGGAATCATGAGTACTAATTACTCAGTTAGTTCGGCGCCTAAACTCGGAAATTAAACACCCCAAAGTCCCCAACAGAAAATAGATCAACAAGCAAGCAAGCAAAACCAGCAACAAGCAAAACCATTGACGGAACAATGGTAAACAATCAATCTAACATGCAACCTAACAAAATAAGCAATAACAACAACAACACAACAACAAATCCTATGGCCATGTGAACGATCCTTCCCATCAAAACAAGTGAACAGTCCGTCTACAGCCACAAAGTCTATAGACAATGTACCACATGGGCCTTCCATGACGGGTAATCCCCGTTACCTCGTCAGGTAACTGTTCGGCCCTTGGGAGCGACCCAGTCTCTCCGAACCCCACAACAAACAGGGAAGCACACTCGAACACCACAAAACTCTACACAAGTGCAACATATGCACAACAACAACCACAACAAACAAGGAAACAATCAAGAAGAGAGAGTTCGTGTGCCACATCACACGCTTCGGAACTCACAGAACATAATCACGGCAAACGGCTAGATCTCTCGGCTATCCTTCTCGGCAACTGCAAAAAACGGTTAACGGCACTCACTCACGGAGATTGGCTCACGCTCCGGAAACTCGCCCGCTTCCTCCTACCGACAGCTTCTCGACGACCAGGCAGCACTTCACCGGAAAAATTCAGAGAGCTCTCTCACGAACTCTCTTCGTTTTATGAATGCTCCTTAAGCCTTGAAACCTTGGTATTTATAGAGGAGGAAGGGGTGGCGCATGGTGGACACATGTCGCTCATGCGGAGGTGCCTTGCACACGATTCACAAGGTGCGTTCAATGAATCTAGTTCATCATGGGAAGCGCGAAATAGGTAACTTGCACACTTAGGTGCCTTGCACACGGTTCACGGAGCTTCTTGAGCCCAAAAATTCGCTGAACCTAGACTAGATTCACCCAATCTAGTCATTCTTGGACTTCACAAAATCTTTTGCTTCTTCACGAAGTCCTAAATATGCTCCCCATATCAACCACACGATTTTATGGTCAAAAATCCGTGATGTGGCTCGTCCACAATCCACAAAATTATCACTTTGCCCATGCCACTCGCCCATGGCTAAGTCCCACGTGCACCGGCTCACGCTCCTGTTCGCGGATGCTCGTGCGGAACCAAACTGATCGACCCGCTCGATCGAAACTTGATCCTCCGATCGTAACCATAATTTACTCCATCCAAAAAAATTTCAAATAACCTCCCGACTCCTTCCCTTTATGCCAAAATCGGAAATGACTCCGACCCAAAATTTCTTACCATGGCCATCCCTATAGTCAAAGGCCGGGTCACTACAGCGACTCTCTGCAGTCTTATGAAAATAACTAGTCTTTTGATCACCAAATTGCATCCATTGGACCCTTGATTTTTGATGGTAAAATTGCTCCTCAATACTAGCTAAGTGATTCATTGGATCCATTGGACCCTCTCAGAAGCCTCTATTACTGCCTCGTACGTTTGCTCTTGAGGGTTTTGAAGAGCTTCGTTCTGTTTTGCGCATAGCACTTCATAGGCTGCCTTAACACGAGAAGGAAGATCCCCATATCTCTCTCTGTTTAACCGCCTTAAATGTTCTTTCAATAACTTCAGTTTTTTATGCAACAAAGTAAGAGCAGAACAGGAGTGAAATAACGGCTGCATTAACGACCAAGTCTGTGCTACTATTTCCAAAAACTGCGGGTGGGAGGCGAGATGATTGAAGAACTGAAATGGTCGCCTATTCGTAGACGCTAACGTTCTGATTTGAAACCAAAGATGAGCATGATCCGAGACTCCTCCTATTTCAAAAGTTGCATACGCACTAGAGAAAGTCGCCAGCCAATTACCATTCACAGAGCACGATTCAACTTTTTGCTAATCGGGTTGCCATCTTGACTATTTGACCAACTAAAAAACTGGACCAACATATGATAAATCCTCGAGTCCGCAATTTTGCACCACATTCTAGAATTCACGCATGGCTGACTGGTCTTGGAGATAGTCAATATACCGTGAGTGTTCTGTAGTAGCTAGAGTGACGTTGAAATCAACAACAACAATCCACGGGTTAATCGCTTGCACACAACCCACTTGAATATCCGTGAGCTCCATCCACAAAGCTCCCTTTCAATGTTAAAATTTGAAGCATACACAAATGAACAAATAAAAATCTTTCCTGTCGATTGAAATCGAATGCAACAAGTGATTTGTTGAGCGCTCATATGAATTAGATGTAAATCAACCTCTGCTGACCAACAAACCCAAATTCTCCCCAACCTACTATACGTATAATTATTAAGACCTTGCCATCCAGGGAACGTAGACTCAAAAATAGGCCGATAATTTTCTTCTTGAATACGATTTTCAAGTAGACTACCAACCGCTAATTTCTGTGACTGTACCCATTGACGAACACCATTTTGTTTGCGCGGCTTATTGAACCCATGCATGTTCCAAGAGAAGATTGACGTCATCAGAACTTCCTAGGGGAAGATTTTTGAGAATTTGCTTGAGGCTGCAGTTGCAACATGTCTTTCTTATGCAGGATAGGTCGCCGCTGGTGCTTTTGTTTCCCATTTTCTTAGCTCCTGATTTGGTACTGGCTGCTGCAGTGTCAGAATTCCCAAGGCTATTGTCTTCTACCAATTTTGACTGCTATGTCTGCTCCGTCTTTGTCTCAACGATTTCACCATCTTCAGGGTATCCTCCAGGACACGAAACCCTGAGGCCAAGCCCAATGGGAAGTCAGTTCTGTCTGCAGGCTTACGGAGAGGGCTTGATTTTCGGCTATGAGGAACTATAGTCCAGCCTTGCTCAGTCTTCCCTAGCTCCTCGCTAGTCTTGGCCACATCTTCAGTGACAACTAAAGCAGATTGAGGTTTATCTGTCTCACAATCTGAGCTCACACCTACACCATCAAATACTACATTGGATCCATTGTTTACTGTCAACAATTTTGATCCTACCGTTCTTCTTTCCTCAACAATAGCAGACACATTTTCAAGATCTGTAACCAAAGCTGCCACGACCGCAAGAGGATCTGAAATAGTGGTTACATCTTGAGAAACAGGGAATCGTGCTGAAATAGGAGAACCAGCACCAACTGCGGTGTTCTTCTTCGAGCAATCAGCTTTCTTGTGACCCCAACTAAGACACTGATTACAACGGGGAGGGAGCCAAGGGTAGCTTACTAAGATTGTAAATTCTGATCCTTCTTTGTCTTCTACACAAATGTTTTCAGTCAACACCTTCTCCAAATTGACCTCTACCAAAATTCTCGCCATATCCAATCTGGTACAGCGCTCAATGTGTGGATGCAAGCGAACAAAATCTCCCGTTATATCAGCTAGAAACCGCTAGCCTTTCTGAGAGAAGAGAAAACCAGGGACACCTCTGAAATCCACCCACAACGGCATGGGGGATAAGTTTGGCTTCTCAATAACTGTTTCAGGACTCCATTCATTCAACACTAAGGGAACATCCGCAATATGCCAATACTTTCTCTTCAATACCCGAGCCCGAGTTTGTTCACTTTCAATACGAAATAGAACAGTTTTTGGACCCAAAAACTGCAGATCAATATGTGAGGCCTTGCCCACAGAGTCACTGTGGCATGAATCGTTCCTAGATGTGGTGCATCACCCATGAAATAACCAACTACAAAGCATTTCCAGAGGGGGGAACTCTCCTCAACAATCTCAGCAGGAACAAAGACTCTAGCGACACCGTCGACTAGATTCACAACTGGTTTCAAACGTGAAACAGAGGCCTCCGGGAGCAGCGAAACCCAGCAAACTTTGAGGACACCGGATCAGATCTATCCATCGGTGAGACAGCAGCCGGCGGGGAAGATCCCATGGCTTCCGGCTGGAAACGTGAAGAAGAAGCAAATAAGAAAAGTTTGAAAATCGCCTAAGAAGGAGCGGCTAAGTCAAAGAACCTATCTAATCAAACAGCAAAATCTTTAAAAATAATTATTTTCGAAACTCAAAACATTCATACCTAAATGAACTTTCATATATATATATTTGAAACGATTAAAAAAACATTTGCATGTATACGTTTTTTGTTTGGTTCAAATTGCATGTATACCATGTTTCAGTTTCCAAGTGTCGTAAAAAACAAGTACGAAGACTTAATTTAATGTCGTCATGATATCACATGAAACATGAACAGTAAACAACAACAAAAATAGTTAACAAAAGAAAAGGAATATCTGAACGCACAAGGAATCTTCCTACTTCACTTTTAGCTAAAAATGCTCTTAGTGATCAATTAAATTAACAATTATATAGCAATTTCCTACAAATCTTCTACTATATATTCTTCAATACCCATAACTAAAATTTTCATAGCTGCACTTAAACACAAGAGAAAAAATAGACTGATAAAATAAATAATGAGGCCGACACCAGTAGAAATCTGGAAGTCACCAGTACCATATCTCTTTGGTGGGCTCTTTTTGCTTGTTTTGCTTATAGCTTTGGCATTACTTTCATTGGTCTGCACACACCAAAAATCTCCTTCTTCTTCAAGCAATAACAATCCTATAGATGAAGAAGACGACGTCGGGGACAAGGAAGCTAAGCCTATTACAAGTGAGTACTTACCTAAGATCGTCGTGATTTTGGCCGGAGACAATAAACCTACTTGCTTGGCTGTTCCAGTCGTGGTTCCTCCGCCTTCTTCCATTTGTCGTTGTAACTGTGACAATGTTACTTTTGTCCCAGCCTAACCATTAACATCTTTTTCTTTTCCTTTTCCGAACAAAAAGAATAAGAGATTGTAACTTTTGTAATAATCATGGGCAATTTTGTAAAAGTCGACAGTTTTTTGGGGATTAGATTTAAGTTTTGTATTATTGCTTTCATGCTTTTGTTTGTTGAGTTTATTTATGGAAATATAGATCTATCAAATGAATTATTTTTCTCTTCTAATACAATGTTAAAACTAGAAGATATAATATTATGTCATACGTGATTATTCTTTTTTGAACAAATTCATTAATTAAAAATAAACAAAGTAACACTCCACCAAGGGAGGAAGAGTTTGATGCTAATAAGTAATAATGTAAACTTTGCGATAGAATCAGCTACAACATTGTCCAAACGACAGATGAAATTGAAAGCAATTGAGAGAAGAAAAAAACACTTAAACAAGTGATATCATGGAGAATAGGTTTGAGCTCCTTAAAGCTTGCTTTTGATTTAAGGGAGTTGATGAGTACTTGGGAATCCGGATCATTCTTCAATGAAAACAGAGCATTTTATTGCGCGAGAGCCGAGGAGACACACCTGAGTGCATCAGAGAATCAGCGGGGAGCATTGCCAAGGGGATAATACAAGATTATTCAAATATCATTTTTCAGATCTTTGCTTACGAAAGTAGATGACCATACTTGGTTCGGAAAATTGCAAATCACTTTCTTAGTTCTACAATTAATACAGTGTCAATTATCTTTGATGACATTTTTAAGTCACCGTACAATGATTCGTATACATCATCAATAACACTATCAACGAATAAAAAGTACCGAGTGAAAAAAAGTTATTAACAATATGAAGAGTTTGAACATGATAATAATTCTCAACAGCAATATTGGTATACGCTAATTATATTAATTAATAAAAGTAAATAGCATTAGTAATGATAAAAGACATGCTTTAAAATTTTGAATGTGGGGTTTTCTAGTTAAAAATTATAAAAATATATAAATAACTTTCACATTGATTGGCGGCTATTGGTGGACGCCGCGGCTTGAAAACGCAAAGAATTGGACGGTCCAAAGTGGGATTTATTACTTTTGCACTGTGTGGCTCTTAAGTGGTCACTTTATTTATGCTGCTAATAGCAACCAGCGACAGCATGTATCGTTCGTTTGTCTATCGCTAACGGCTATCGCGGTGTTATTCGTTTGACTGTCGTTCTAAACAGTCATTATATTTTTTAATTTTTTGAATTATTAATTGTGACAATTTATATTTTAAAATAATATAAATTACATATATCACCATTAGAAAAATAAATCAATACATTTCTTTACTTTAATTTTATCAAATTTAATTTGACTATAATTACTTTGATTTATTTGAATTTAATATATTTTAATTTAATAAGATTATTTTTAATTTAATTGTTTTTATTTTAATTTAATAAATTTTATTTTAATTTAATAAATTTTATTTTAATTTTGATTACATTTGATTTGATTTATTTGAATCTAATTCAGTTTAATTTATTTTAGTTTGTATAAATTTATCTGATTATATTTAATTAAATTAGTTTGATTGTATTTAATTTAATTTAATTTAATTTAATTTATTTTATTTTTGTTTATTTTTTAAATTTATATTTTTTTATTGCTAAGTTGTTCGTTTGCATGTCGCTGGATTCAGCGACCAAATGCAGCGACTGGTCGCTGAAACCAGCGACTGATCGCCAAAAATTTATGCGACTGAAAAGTGTGGTATCTGGTCGTTGGCGACTGTCGCTGCGATTGGTCGCTGAACCAGCGACAGACAAACGAACAACTTTTGGTCGCTGTCGCTGGTTTCAGTCGCGAGCGACAAGCAAACGAACATGGGCATTATGCATAGGTTTTCTAAATATATTGTGTAGTCGCTATGCTGTAATCTCCTCCGAATTGATCTGTTTTTTCTAACCTTTTTGATGAGTTTGATTCGCTCCAAACTAATATTCTTATTTTCTCACTTTCAAAGATTTCTCACTCTTGTAATCTATAGTCCGATTATTTAGCCAAAACTTCTAAATATTTAAGTTATGAACTTTTTATGTAAACTATTTTCCTCTTTATTAAGCTACCAGTCAAAGAGTAAATTTTTAATTAATGTGTGGTTGAAAAAAAAAACATAATTGTCTTTCAAATTAATTGAATATCTTATTTATTTGCTTTCTACATTTATCTTTGTTACATGTAAAATTACACGTAAAAGTTTTACCCTTACTGATAACTCCAAGTGCACATGCAAACACATTAATATTTAGGGATCGAATCAATAGAGAACAAAGAAATACACATTAGACTATATAGACTTAGACTAAGTTAGAAAAATAGAGAGTTAAGAAAACTCGTGTAAAATTACGGTAATTAGAATAATTAAAATAAATAGATATATAATATAAAAAAATAGAGAAAAAGGAAATCATCAGAGAATATATAGAACCATATATTGTCGGTTATGATTATAGAGGTATTTGAAATCAGATTTCTACTTTGAATTATCATAATGGTTTTTAGTGAGAATTTCTATGAAAAGACTACATAGATCCATAAGCTTTTGGTGAGGCTTATTCTAAGCAATCAAGTCGAACATTAAAAATAGAATCCAATAAATTCACAAAACTCAATAACAATAACTTGTTCATAGGTTGGTTAAAAAAGGTTTGCCTATCTAATAATAGACTAGGTCCGGACCCGCACATACGTGCGGGTTTTTATATTTTGAAATATGCAGATTGAATATTTGTTGTATAACATATAGTGAAAACGGGTATAACATATAGTGTTGTATAACGTATGTACGGGGTTTTATGTTTGATAGGTTAAAAAGATTGGAAAGAATAATTAGTAAGAATTATGTAATTTTGATTGGTGAATGATTGGATATCTTGTTTTGGTTTTGTTGAATTATTGAGAAAGTTACAAAATTGGTTGTAATATTTGTGAAACCAATTTATTATTTTGATTTATATTGTATATTTTGATTTCTTAAACTATAAAATGATTTGTTTGGTGAAATAAAATTATTGTGTTGCATAAGAGATGTCCTCAATAAATATGTGTTTTCGTTGTATGTAAATATGTGAATTTTATAAAAAAACTTTTTTATATCAGATAATAAAATAGATAGAGTAATTTTTGAAATATAAATGTTTTTTAAATTTTACAATGTTTTAAATTAATTTCCTAAAGCAATTTGTTTTGTGTTAAATTGGTTTTAAATTTTGAATTTATGTATAAATATTTAATGTATTTTTTGTTTGTAATTTGATATATATATAATTAAGTTTTATGTTTGGGCCACATAAAAATCTATTGGCCCATTTGCGATTCCGTTAATAAATCTGTGATCCAATAAAAAGCTATAGACCTGTCAATTGGGCCTAAATATTTCGCTGATCCATTTGATATATTTCTGTTTTTTTTTTTTTTTTTTTTTTGGACAGATAATTTGCAACAGAACAATTATTGTCGGTGAGATGGAAATAGATGAAACAACAAACCCAGAAAAATCTCATACTCATCTTCGATCTGAAAATAAAAAACGAAATACTGCTTAGATCGAGCTTTTTCGTTGCTATTTATCAAGTTTCTAACACAGATTCCGAATTATAGAAACAGGTAAGCTTTTGATTGATTCAATTTTGTAGAACCTTTTATTTTTTTCCAATTTGTCGATTTGATTTCCAGTTTGTGAAACTCTCTGTTTGAATAGATTCATTGGGAGATGACTGTGAAGAACCCAAGCTTGTGAGTAAGTTTCAAACCAAATAATTTTGATTTCAATAATTTTTATACACAAATCACAAATTGATGTCCTGTGTTTTTGAAAATTTACAAAGTAATTAAATCTATCTATATAAATCTTCAGAGCCATGATTGTAAAGATTTCATAATTGGTTTGTATATAGATTTGAACAATCGATTTTGGTTCCTGAAATATATTAACATCATGTCGTTGCTAAAATGATTTCAGATAATAACATAGATGATGATGTTGCCAAAAGAAGATGATTTAGAAAGATAAGTTGTTCATACAATTATTACTATTGCATAGGATCAAGATATGTGTAATGATATAGATTAGAAAGATTCTATTTCATAAGTAGTAATATGATGAGAATCATATATTTAAAAGCTAAGTATTGTTACTATATGCGCAGATTAAGGAAATAAATCATGCAATCAAGATTGACTGATGATTTCGGATCTTTTCCCAATTACATAAGGTATATTCTGATATGAAAATTTATATCAATGTCTATTTTTACTCTAACTATACAATATATAACAGTTAGATATATTGCTTAGCTTAACATTTATGAGTAAAATTTAGGAGAGGTTATTGGTTCATTGATTTATAAGGAATTAGAAATCCAAACAAAAATCATTTGTTATTCAATCATTGATTTTAAAATCCTAATTAAAATCATGTGTTATTGGTTCTATGATTTATAAATACTAGTTAAAATCCTATGTTATTAGTTTAGTCATTTGTTTTTGGATTTGAGAATCCAAATTATGTTTTAAATGGATTTGTATGGAATTGAAAGAGAAAAATAGAAGGATTCAAATCCATGGGTAAACACATGTTATTTCAAAATCTATATATCTTGATTTCATAATTAATAGAAATTTCCAAATCCTATATGAATTTACAAATTAATAAACCAATAACACCCCCTTAGTTTTTAGAAAACTTACTTAAATTTAGGGTGGCTGCTAATAAAACTTTATATGGAAAACAGAGTAAAATAGAGATTAAATTCAAAAGAAACAAATAGAGTAGGTTTAAGTCGATTACAAAATGAGTTTTTCATACCAAAAGGAAGTTTTTAAAAAGACAGAGTTCATCTCCTCTAAAAATGTAAAAAGAAACAACAAAAACTAAGAGAAACTGATAATCCTTGCACATCCAATCCATCCTTTCTTCATATGTTAGTTCTCATCAACCATCTCCATCATCACATCTTCTTCGTCACTTGATCCATCTTCAAATGATCGCCTGCATAAAAACATATGGTTTATGTTTACCTAGGCTATGAATCTAAACCAAAATATAACACAATTATAAAGAATTTTTAACTTACAGATAACTTTGAATGTCAAGTTCATAAAAGATTGGATCAATGTATAGACGTGAACAGCCATATTCACTCATTAAAACATTGTTTCCTATAGACAAATAAAATACAGTCAATGTAACTAATAAAATTGCAAAGTCATTTCATAAAACTATCATAAGAACCTACCATAGTAAGAGGAGATTCTCCAGAAACACAAGACTACAACAATCTTATCATAGTTGTAGTTTATTCCGCTAATTTTCTGAGACCAAGTGTTCACAAAGAACTCACACCACTTTCCCACAGCAACGCATTTTATTGTCTCCCCCCTAGATTAAAAGTTTAATTTCCAAACAAAAAGAATAGTCAATCCAAATTCATTTTAATAAGTTAAGAACAGCCATTGAAATTCTTTCTCAAAAGGGAAACTAAACTTACACATTATTTTTAATTTTGAAGCAGACATAGCGAGATTCATAGTCTGTTTCCCCTCTGCGACACACATATGGAAACCTTCCGATGGTGGAAACAGCAGACAGAGATAACTCCCATAGCATCTAAGCAAAAATAACAGAGAAATGGTCATATAAGTCTTCAAATAGAATAAATCTTGGTATAAAACATTTAATTTCACAAATTATTACCATAGACAGAGTTTTTATCATCTTCATGAGCATTTCTGACAGTATCAGGCCAAACAAAGTTCCAGAAATTGCTCCAGGTCTTAGATCTAACAGGCCACATTGTAGTTTCTCTCATAAACCTAACCTGAAGTGGCAGAGTTGAATATCTG